GGTCAGCGCAAAAGCATCCAGCCGATAATAACTAGTGATATAGATCTATCTTTTGACGGGTGGAGCGATACGCTTAGTGTTTCACAAGGATCTTCCTTTTCAGACCGTTTCCTGGCTAGTCCTACCCAAGTTCAACGGCCAGCATGATTGCCTCCGAGAGTGAAGACGAAGCTTTTGACGATATTGAATTTCCGGATTCAGTTGAAGCCTTGCGATTGGGGGCGTATCGACATACAGGACAGTCATCCGAGGTTGAAATGGATGGTGAAGATGATGCTGATGACCCATCAGCTGGGTTGGTCATTCCCGATGATGGGACATTGCATCCCGGACGGCTAAAGGTGACTCCAATCGCTGGGCCTACACCTAGTCCGCGCGCTGCCTCACCTTCAAAGATACCGCGGCTAGTCCCAAGTGCATTCGTTTCTTCATACGTTCAAGCGGACATGCATGGAAAGCCAAAACCTTTGACCGGAACTTACATTAGCGGGCCAGATCGGAGAACCGGTCCGTCCGCTCCGATATCCCCGTCACTGGGTCATATCCAGAGGCTGAGCTCGCAATTGATAAGTCAACGAAAGCTTCATGGGGACTCACCAACCAAGCTTATACGCAAACCCAAAGGTGCCCAGCAATATGGAGATGGGACAGAATTGGACACGTTTGATGATTTACCAGTCTCATCAACGACGGAGAACAAGTTTGTAAAAACGATAAAAGTTACACCAAAGATAAATCCTGCCAAACCTGTTCACAACACTTCTCTGAAACGGAGCTCGTCGAAAGCTGGGTCAATGGGCAGTATCGTGTCCTCTCCTGGTAAGGTTCCAAGTCAAACTTCCATTATCCGTACATGTACTCAAGCTTGCAACTCTGCTTAGAAGAGCGCGAGAATAGACGACCGTACACAGCCGGAGGTCCCGTACACCATCGACCGAGTCAAACTTACCAGGACCGACGTCCACCGACTTCTCATAAAAGAGTACGTAAAAATGACTCGGGGGAAGGGATGAGTGCCAGAAAAATAAACCCTCCTTGTCTGCTTAGCGACCGCGAAAGAAGCCTACCCTCATACGCAACCTCAACAACAGTAATGCCGTAAAAGGTGACGACAATGTACGCCGCAAACCCAAGTTATAATATTCTTAACATTGGACCTTTTTGCAGTGGTGGGCGACATGGTCTACAACCCCGCCCTCCAAAAATGGGAAGGCAATGAAGATGTCCTCGCCGAGTTTGATAAAGCGTTACCCTCACGTCCAGCCCTCATTACAAACAAAGGGGGATACAAAATGCCTCAAGTGGTCGGAAACATGGTGTTTGATCCGATCAAAATGTGTTGGGTGGGGAATGATGAGGAGGCGGATGTGTTTGCGGATATTTCGGATGATATGTCTGTTGTGACGGAAATGGGTAGTGGTGGTGGGTAACCTGCTTTTCGTTTGTTGGATATTTCACTATGGGATTGAATAAGGTGTTTCATTTATAGGTTTCGTTCCCGAGCAAACGGAATTTAACTTGTCGAAAAGTTTCAAAGAAGCCATGTGCATTGCTGAATCGTCACATAAACTTTTTATGGGCAAGTGGTACCCAAAAGCTGTACTGGATAGTAGGACCATGATGCGGGATACGTCCAAAACGCACTTGTACGAAATTCGCTCGGTAAGTAGTTACCAAACATGTCAATATGGCGACTTGAATGGATCTAATCGCCGTCATTCATTTTGTTGAACAGCATACGAACGGGGATCGGAGACCGAAATTAATGGGTCGGCATGCTATTTGGCGGTGAAATATTGGCAAGCAACAACACATGTTCGAGTAGTAGTTTTTTTATTGTGTAGATATTGTTAATTTCAAACATACTGGCTTTCGTGATCGATTCATGCTGGCATTGGCGGTATCAGGTCAGGTATACCCGCCCGTTGCGCCCTGTTCCTCTGTGTCGACGACATTCAATTACATAGGCTATCATTCTCTCGAGTCTTGCATACAAGAAAGATTACCACACTAAAAAATTCGTCAAAGCTATGTACAAAACCGCCTAACAACACACACTAGTCCATCATAAACGCTACACTTTTACTAATCTACTCTACCCTTATCCACAACAATCTCCTTCACATCTGCCTCATGAACAGTGGCCCCATCTCCTGCTGTACGTCCACGAGACTTGTCAAGAAGATAATTAACCCAAGACGGGTACAAATCCTTCATTTCCTTTGGTCCCCACTCTTCTTTATTCTCAGCATCAGGAGGGACCCACCGGCCCTTTGAAGCTTTTTTCAAAAGCAGTAGGACGGTGTTGATGACAATGTAGGATCCAATACCGGCAATCAGGCCATATGCGATCGAGTAGGTGAGGGGCATGATGACGATGGTGAGAAAGGCGGGGATGGCGTCGGGAAGGTACTTGAAATTGATTTCGGAGAAAGCGGATTGGGCCATCATGGTGCCGACTAGAATGAGGGCGGGACCAGTCGACCACGGGGGAAATGAGGCAAAAATGGGAGCAAAAAACAGACTGCGAGAAATTGAAGGTTATGAAACAGGGAAACGCAACAACGAATGAACAATAAAATGTGTGGATTTCTTACCTGAGAAGGAAAAAGAAACTCGTAACAAGCGCCGTGATCCCTGTTCGTCCACCTTCCGCAATCCCAGCTCCACTCTCAATGAACGCGGTACTAGGTGACGTTCCCAGAACCGCACCCACGGTAATCGCCGTAGCATCCGACAAAAACGCCGGATAAGATCCATCAAAGTCCCCAGACTCATCCATGAATCCCGCATATTTGGCCATTGAAAACATGGTACCGGTCGTATCGAGAATATCCACGTACAAGAATGTAATGAGTGCCACCCAAACTTGACCGGATCCCAATGAAAAGTCGAGTGCACCGCCAATGTGACGAATACGAGGGACGTCGACTACTTTTTTAAAGTAGTCAAAGGCGTCATTTCCGGATGGAGTGTCTGGGAAAAAGGTCACTGGTGTATGACGGAACCAGGACACGGCGGAGATAAAGATGATGCCAATGAGGATGGATCCTTTTACCCGAAAGATTGTCAAAAAGGCAATGATGAGAAAACCAAGGATACCGAGCTGTAGCATGTAATATCAGTTTCTTAGTGTCAATACATTGAATCATTCTCTGGTATGTCGGAACGTACCCAAGTGTGACCGCCTTCCATATGATGTGCCAAGCACACTCCACCCTTCTTTTCACTCTCTGGACAACCCCCAAGGGCAACCAACGTAGCCCCATCCCCAGTGACAAGTCCAATTCCAGCAGAACTCTGCAACCCAATAAACGTCAAAAACAACCCAATACCAGCCGCGGATGCCGTTTTGATTGACATGGGAACAGCTTTCGTCAAGAGTTGACGTAACCCGAGAGCAGAGAGCACCAAGAAAATGATACCCTCGATAAACACGGCTGCCAAAGCGGTTTGGTATGAGACGTTACCGCTCCCGTGGAGTCCAACAACTTGGTAAGTAAAATACGCTATGCAAAAAAAGCACCAACAGTTAAATCCCACCGTTAAACACCATCACGATAAAGCTTAACACGAACCATTCAACCCCAATCCAGGCGCAATCGCTAATGGCAGATTGGCAAACGTCCCCATAAGAAAGCATCCAATAACAGCAATCGCCGATGTAGCAGTGATCAAATCCTTTTTGATATCAGCCAGACAGACGAGGTATTCTGGGTCCTGGAGACATACAGAAGGTGCACGAGGACTGCATCCGCATGTACCTCCGGAATCTGTAAGGATATTGGCATTGACCTAACAACCAAAAACACCGATTAATCAATCAAACTCATGTCTGATATGAAGGCATGGAGCGTAACGTACACTAATAATGTACGCCATCGTGACAAACGTTGCAAGACCCGCTCGCACTTCAGTCGTGAACCGTGTTCCCCTTCGTTCCTTGATTGCTCCCGATCCTTCGAGTTTGAACCATTTTCCTGCTCGGCTGGCTGCGATACGGGCATTCAACGTCTCCAACGCGCCCATCGTTGCAACTTTGAACCTCTTATTTTGGCTTGAAAGGACGCTGATGGACGGCCTCTTTAAAAAGTGTAAAGTCAAGCAGTGTCTTGCATCTGTCCTTTTCTTTCCCCATTTTTTTTTCTTCCTTCCGCGGGTGGTAAGAAGAACTGATTGCTAATGTAAAACAAAAAGCGACAAGACGCGCAGATAGTGTGAGATTGTCTAATCAACTTGAAATGTAACCATATTTGGATAGATTACCACTGCCGATCATTTCCGTGTCTTTCAGACATACCTCCTGGCAGAATAGATAACGAGCGAACGGATGGCAAGATATCAACATTTTCACAGTAATATAAATATGTAAAAGAATGCACATGTACACATGAAAAAAAGCAA